TTTGTTAAAATAAATAACATGTTTTTGTAAAATTTACTGTACTTTCCAAAACAGGAAAAATTAGAATGAGAAGAGTGATATTGTTTTATATTTTTGGAAATCTCTTCAATATTTAATAGAACATGGCTGCTGTATTTTTTTATCTACTTCTGAATTAAATCTGTTAGAATGTGTTGTTTTGGTTGAAGCATATGAATAAAATCTGGCCTTGCAGAGACATATAGTGAGAAAAAGGAGGATTATTTTAATAATCTTTTCGGATAACTGTGGAAGTTCTTTTTCAACATTACACCAAAACTCAAATGGTAATTTCTTAAAGGTTAGTTGAAATGTGAAATCTGAAACTCTAACAATAAACTTTTAGTACTTTGTTACATTAAAATTCACCATTCCTCACCTCTAAGACCTATCTTATAAGAAATACTAAAAGGTGTTCTTCAAGTTGAAAGAAAAGGATGTTAATTATATAAACACATAAACATATGAATGTATAAAAGTCACTGGTAAAGGTTAAGTACTTCAAATTTAGGATACTCTAACACTGTAATTGTGGTATGTAAATCACTTATAGCTTTAGTATGATGGTTAAAAGATGAAACTATTCAAAATAATAATAGCTATAATAAAAAAGATGTAAATGTGACATTGAAAATTTAAAATGTGTATAGGGATATGTGGAGTAAAAGTATAGAGTTTTTGTATGCAACAAAGTTAAATTGTTATCAGCTTAAAATAACCTGTTATAACTATGTTTTATGTAAGCCTCATGGTAACCACAAAGAAAAACCTATAGTAGATACATAAAAAGTAAAAAGTAAAGAATCAAAGCATATCACTACAGAAAATCACCTAATCACAAAGGAAAACATCAAGAGAGGAAAAAAAGGAACAAGGAAACCACAAAACAGCCAGAAAACAATTACCAAAATGGCAATAGTAAGTCTTTAGCTATCAATAATTACCTTGAATACAGATGAATTAGATTCTCCAATCAAAAGACAGAGTGGCTGAATGAATAAAAAACTAAACACAACTATATGCTGCTTATGAGATACGCATTTCACCTTTAAGGACACAAATAGATTGAAAATGAAGGGCTGGGAAAAGATATTTTATGCAAAAGGAACCCAAAAGAAAGCAGGAGTAGCTCTATTTATATCAGATAAAACAGACTTTCAGTCAAAAAGTGTACAATGTAAAAAAGAAGGCAATTATACAATGATAAAGGAGTCAATTGATCCAGAGGATGTAACAATTATAAATATATCTGCACCCAATGTCAGAGTACCTAAATGTACACAGCAAATACTAATAGACCTGAAGGAAGAGACATACTATAATACAAAAATAGTAGAGTACCTCAGTACCCCACTTTCAACCACAAACAGATCATTCAGACAGAAAATCAACAGGGAAACATCAGACTTAAACCACACTGTAGACCAAATAGACCTAACAGATACATACAAATATTCTGTCTAACAGCAACAGAATATACATTCTTCTCAAGCACAACAGGGAACATTCTCCAGGACAGATCACATGTTAGGCCAGAAAACAAGTCTTAACAAACTTAAGACTGAAATCATATCAAGTACTTTTTCTGACCACAATGGTATGAAACTAGAAGTCAGAAACAGGATCAATTTTGGAAAAGTTACAAATACATGGAAATTAAACAACATGCTCTTGAACAATCAATGGGTCAAAGAAGAAATTAAAAGGGAAATTTGAAAATATCTTGAGACAGACAAAAATGGAAACACAACATACTAAAACTTATGGGATGCAGTAAATAAAAGCAATACTAAGAGGGAAGTTTATAGCAATAAATGCCCACATCAAAAAGGAACAAAGATCTCAAATAAATAACCTAACACTACATCTCAGGAGACTAGTAAAAGAACAAACTAAACACAAAATTAGTAGAAAGGAGGAAATAATAAAGATC